TTTTTTGTTCTGATTTCCCCAAATAGTCGAAGTAGTTTCCGTTGGTTGGACACTGGTGGCACGTCGGTGAAATCCCCTGTAGGAAGTCGTCTGTGGTAGTTCTTTAGGCATTTGTGTATTTTCCTTTAACCTGCTTGCTAAGGTGGCTTTGATTTAACGGCGAATGCTTCATAGTAGAATTAAATGTGCTCAGAGTTGTGAATGCATACTCTGTAGTTCTTCAGCCTATTTTAAGTTATTCGTTGCTTCTGAATTATTAGTAAGACTGTGCAGTTAGCTGAGTTTTCTGTGCATACGAGTATTTGTAAGGGAACATAACTGTGCCGTGTAAGTAAGGTTAAGAGTATATGTAGCAGATCAACATACTCTAAATAGAGACTCTTGTTCATGACCTACTTTCTTTGCTGAAAACACTTTGTTTTCCAGTTGGATTTTTTTTTAGGCCTGTGTGCCAGACAGAAACTGTCGAGGAAGATTCCTCATGATAAAATGGATGTTGTTGGTAGGAGGTGGATGATTTTGATTTGATGGTATTTTCAAGCTTAATCAACCTTATATAGTCTCCTAAGGCTGTGGTACAGTTCAAAGGCTACATCACAAGCCCTTGGATGCTTCATGTCAATCACAGCTGCTGCAAATTAACCTTTTTGGTATCTAGTGCCAAATTTACTTGTGGAAACTGTAGATTGTTGGCAGTGCCAGTCGAAATCTTGGTGCCAATGGTTCACCCTTGTTGCATAACACTCTTCAGATGTTACAGATCATGGCCAAATCTGTGCTCTCCTTTGTAAAAAAAGATGTAGAAAAGTCTTTTTATTTGAGTTATTTGAGTTCATTGTTGATTGGTGCTTAAGTTAATGTGTGAGGCTAAGAGGAGGACAGACCTGCATTACTAACAGGCCTGGCTGTCTTTGCCACTAAGCTATTCAACAATGTTTGCTTTTCTCACATCAGGTATTTTTCATCTGATGCATGTCTGACATGAAGGTCATGTTGCTGTTCAAGCAAACTAGAGAGAATTTAATTATAAATACAACCGTCAGAGGAAAGAGGAAAGCACTGGAATTTAAGCTGACTGCAATTAGCACATTAGTGTAATTTTCACTATCGTGATAGAAATGTGGATAGTCTAAGCCTATGATATTTATATTAATATTTGAAGTATTGCTTGTGAAATCATTGTCAAAAGATGTTTGATTCATGTAGGAAACCAGACAGGAACTTTTTGAGTTTATCCATGTAAGTTGCTATAATCACTGGTAATTGATATGTATGTTAAAATTATTCCAAACTGTTCATGAGAGCTAAGTACTTATGCTGAACTTCAAAATATTGCTGACCTTGGTATGGACAGGCACATAAAATTAGCTGGAAATGGCTATTCTGAATTTCTAGCAATACTGTGAGATGTTAAAATCAGTAGGGTGGTAGCATTTTTGCAGGTCAGGTCTGAGGAAGCAGGTTAAATTGTTTTTTTAAGTAGTGGAAAGAAAAAGACATTCTCAAAGGGTGTTATTTTTCCAGATATAATGGATGTAAGAGATGATGGGTCTCCAGCCATCTTCTAAGTGCAATTCTGCCATCTGTCATGAGCAGGGAAAAGTGTTTAATGAGCCTTTAATGGAACTTTGTGATTTCAAATCCTTATCAGAGATACAGCATGTATTGATTCATGTATTGATATGTATTCAACTTTGATAAGTTGCACTGCTGCAGTCCATGCTCCTCCAGAGTAAGGATGTCCCTTTTCAGGGACAGCCTTGGGACAAACACTGGGCTGGGAGATCTCCATGCTGCCAGATGTTCTGCAGCAGCTGCTTTGGGCCTGTTGATCCTGACCAGCTGATGCTCAACACTGCAGTGGTAGAAGAGGAGCAGGTCTGGGCTCTTGGGGGCAGGACACCACTCTGAGACACGCTGCAACATTTTGAGCCAAACTTGATTTTAATTTGGACTGCAGTCTCTGCTGCTCTGTTGTCTGTAGACTGGTGTGGTAGCCAGGCATCCCAAGTTGCCAGGTTTTTAGCTCCACTCGCTTCCCACAGAGCCTATTTCACACATAGTTCCACCTAAACTCCTGTTGAGTGCTATTCTACACCCTTCTGGTAACAGTGTGATCTTCAGAGTTCTATAGAGGGTATAAAAACCTAAATCTAAGATGGATGCATAGAAGTAGCATAATTTTCCTCTGAACATAAGTAAAATAGCAATAATAATTTGATGTTATTTTTAATTACCAACTAATTGTGGCATCTGGCTAATGAGACTGTGCAGAATACATTGCAGTAATGTGGAAGTTCAGGAGTTGATTAAATCAGAGAAATCTAAACCCAGCAGAAGCTCTTCCCTATTTACTCAGTTGTAGACAAAACCCTCTCTTCACACATTTGTGTAGGAGCTCATAGAAGTCTGAAAACATTATCACATTGCCATAAGAGTAACTCCAACAGTCTCAAGTCTTTATTTCAGAGCCAGTGATGCTTTTATTCTCCAAAATGTCCTCATGCAAAGTGTTACACAGCTGTCATGCTAGCAGAGCTTGATGGAAATGACACAGTGAAGAGAACCCTCAAACAGTGTTCAGCAGAGTTGATTTTAGCACTGTGGAGTAGCAGCAGACTGCTCTTTGAAATAGCAATCTCATTTCAATTTTAAATGTATTATTGTATCTTGCTTGTGATAGTATCACTGCACTACCGTGGTGTTGCTGAGTGATCTTGAGAGAGCAGCTGGGAAGGTTTTGTGGGATGGGAGGCTGGGACTCTGCAGACCCTGCTCTGGCCAGGACTCTGGATGAGTGGAGGGGAGGTTGGGTGTGTTGTCACTGGGGGGTTTCTTGCAGTACCAGTCCTTGGAATGGGCTGCCAAGTGGAAATCAGCTTTGGGTTCACTACTCTTCAGAAATTCTTAGTATTTTTAGTATTTGTTGGTTAAAAGTGACTAAATGTGCATGAGTTTTGTGGAAATGCCTCTTTGTTTGCTGCTGTTAGTGCATCAGTGATGTGTAATGGGATTTTTATTATTTTAGCTGAACAGTGGAATTTTGTGAGTTTTTTTTCTTTTTTCCACTAGATGGCCCAAGCATGCTTCCAAGTACCCCACGAGAACTGAAACTTGATTCATTTCTCTTGTAACTGAAGTAAAAACTCGACATTGTGAGGCATATACCAACTTGTGTGATGTTTTGTGTTTGTTTAAAATACAAACACCTTCTATCAACCAAGAGAGTGTTGGTTAATGTTAGGAATACACAGTAATGAAAGGTTTTTTTTTTCCTTGATTAGAACATGTTTTATCAAGTGTAGTATAAAGCTGTTTAGTTTTGCATTGAGAAGAGAACTGGTGTGCTTTGATTGACTGTGCTCCACAGTAATTCAGGGAGTTCAGGGAGGCTCTGAAAAGATGTTGATCTGAAATTTGTCCCTAACATCTCCTGGGACAGAGACTGGTATTTTGCAGGCCTCCATAATTGATATTTTTTTGGGGGGTGGCTTAAGTTTTGCTGCATAGGGTTTTCATAACAGCTTTGCAGTTGATTTCAGGAGTGTATGGATGTGGGCAGTGGGCTCTGAACAGGCTGTTAAATGTACAGACTAATTTAATTCAGTTTAACAGACAGTAAGTGTAACTTGTTATCATAAGTGCCTTTTTGGTTAGTGGAGGAAGATGGATATATACTGAAGGCAGCTCCTCCATGGGGGTGGTTGGACACTGGAATGAGGCTGAAGGAGTGGTAGGATGTTCATCCATAGGGAGACATTCAAAACTCAACAGGACTGAGGCCTGGGCCAGCTCTGACTGGGATATTGAACTACGTGATCTTGAGAGGTCTCCTTCAGCCTTAATTATTCACAAATTCCAAAATGAGATTTTATTGGTTCCTTTGCTCTACTACTGTTTAAACCAAAAATAAATGGAAAATGGATAGTTGTCTTTCTGAGCTAGTTGTAACCTCCCTATTTTGAATTAACTTCCAGCTTCCCTTTACTTCTGAGGGCCTTGATGTGGTGGTATTAGACACCAGAAAAAGGATGTCTGTCTGTGAGCGTACTTTTCCTCCTTGACTTGCAATCCCCACTGGGGAAAAAAAAAAGCCATTTAAAGGGAGTGCTCTGTTCCTTCATTTCACTGCTGCACTTGCCAAGTGCCATCTCTTGCCTTATGTTTGGTATTATTACTTCTGGTGTCTCTTTTTAACAGGTATGACCAATTTTTTCTTATTCCATTTCTTAGGATATTTCCTAGATTTTCTCTTTTGCTTTTTTCCTTTATGGAAAAGAGACAGCTGTTGTCCCTTCCTCTGCATCTGACTGTATTCCTTTTTTCCTTCCTTTCCCCATTGTTAGTATTTGTCCTGTCCTGCCACCTTCCTGCTTCTCTTCCCTTTTCTGACTGGAGACAAATCAGTGTGTTCACATGTACCAGAAGGATGGACATAAATGGAGTATTTTGGTGACAGGAATATTGCTGCCTGCAGTCAGTTCTGCAGTCAGTGGTAATCTGCCCTAGTTCACAGCCCTACTGATCTGTGTTCAGTACTGCTTTTGCAGTATTTTGGTCTCCTTTCTAGTTTCTTCCAAAGTCAACAGCTTTCAGTTCATTGAGCAATGTGCCAGTTGAGCCAGGTACAGGGAAATTTCTAAAGATACTGGTTTTGTGATAGATTTGTATGTTCAATGGGATTTATTTCCTAGACTGATACACTCTTCACTTTGTGTAGGACATTGGCTGCATGGCCTCACAACTGCTGTTATTAGTAATATACAGGCTTAACTTTGTGACTGGAAACTAAACTGATGAAAGCAATTCCATTTTTAGCATCCTGGTAGTGGAAAACATAGCTATAGGTATACTAAAATGTTAGGAGTAGTATTTCCTGCTTAGTAGCATAAGTTATGGTTTAGTTCTAATTTTTTTTACCAAACAAATTTAATAGCAAGTATGAAATGGGGCAAGTTAAAAAAGTTGTGTTTCTAGCAAATCTTTGATGCAACAGAAACAGGTGTAATTTGTCTACATATATTATTGCAAGTATTATATGGAACCTTGGTGTAAAAGGGACGTTATCCAATCATGATGTGAAGGTTTTTCAGCTAGTGTCTCAGTCAGGTCTCAAAACTTTGCACTTCACATGGTTTTAGTAACTGTAGACAGTTAAAGCAGGCAGTAATATTTGTTTTCAGGCAAAGGTTTTATTTCATGTATCTGTTGTATGTAGGACAATAATATGCTTATTGTGTAGTTTTGCACATAGGGATACAGAAATGATATTTTAGGGTGAACAGAAATAGTGATGGGCAAGATGTCAGAATGGTGTTGTGTTTCATACCTGTCTCAGTGTATTTATATGGTGGTACCCCCTAAATACATTTAAGGCATTTTGGATAAGTGGATATAGTGTCTTTGGGTGCATGGCACAGCAGCCATGATGTAGAACTGTTTGAAAGCTGGACCAAGCTGCAGAAGGTTGCAGTATCAGGTGAGAGCTTTGAAACCACCTTCTGCTATAAAAATGTTCATCCAGTTCAGTTTAAATTTTGTTTAACTTTACAGCTGCAGTGGTTACAGCATTGTCATACTGGAATCTTTGCACCAGTATGAGTTCTGGTTGGCTGGCAAAAGTAATTCTAAAACCAAACTGCTTATTGCAATCAATAAAATAAAGCTTGTTCTCGTGGCTAAAATATCAACTCCAGTTTCTGAACTTTTCAGAGTAGTTCAGAAATAATAATTAAAAAAAAAAAGGAAAGGCAACATGTATGTATTTAAAATAGTGTTAATGTTATTTTGTCTTTATATTCCTTTATGTTCTTCACTAGATGTCACTAGTAGATTTGGGAAAGAAACTTTTAGAAGCTGCACGAGCAGGTCAAGATGATGAAGTTCGCATTTTGATGGCAAATGGAGCACCTTTTACCACAGACTGGGTAATGAACACTTTTACACTGGAGAAAGTCAATCTTACTTTTCTCACCTGAAGAAAGAAATACTATTCTTACAATTCAGTATTTATATTACAGTTCTTCTTGGAATTCTGCATTCACATTATCTAATGTCTAATTCAAAATTAAACATGTCTGTTTCTTCATATGACCTCCTACTGATTTTGGTAACAGACTGTGAATGAGCTCATTCTGGTGACTTTCAAGATGAACTTTGGAATGGTTAATGGGAAAAAGCAGCAATCATCCTCCTAGTTACTGTGTTCATGCACTTGGTATAGTAAGAGGTCTGAATTACGAAAACAGTCCTAACTACCTAATATGTGCAGCTGAGAGTTCCCTGATATAGGGGTACTGAGTTGTCTTTTGGATATGCTGATTTTTGAATAGGTTATAGAGAGAGGTCAGGTACCCAAAATTCCTAGGGCATTTACAAGCTCTTAAGGGCCTTCATCTGCTTAGTGACCTAACTTCCAAATTAACTCCGTTTTGAGCAGGAGGTAAATTGGACTTAATTGACTTCCAAAGATGCCTGTTGACCAACACTAAAAATGGGGTTAGACCCCTTGAAATGTTCCATGTCAAAAAGACAAAAAAAGCAGAGTAAAAAGAAAGCAACGACAAACTTCCCTCCCTCATTCATATTGTGTAAAAGCCTCAACAGCTTCTCTCCTTGAGATACAAGGGAGAATGGTTTTGAAATGGCATCTTGACACCTGGGTTTGGTATCTTCAGAGTAAGAAGAAATGCTTTACCCTGCCATCTGTTAGATCTGCATGTTTTGTGTTCTTTACAGCTGGGAACATCTCCACTTCATCTAGCAGCACAGTATGGACATTACTCCACCACAGAAGTGTTGCTGCGAGCAGGTGTGAGTCGGGATGCCAGAACCAAAGTGGACAGGACTCCATTACATATGGCAGCATCAGAAGGCCATGCCAGCATAGTAGAAGTCTTACTTAAGGTACAAACTGCTGAAACAAGTTTGAAGTGGGGTTATTGCAATGGTTTATGATCAGATATTTGCAATTTGCTTTTAGTCATGAAACCAGCATTGAAATTACATGAATAGTTAAACTGTGTGCATTGGGAACTTTGTTTTCCAATTGAACAGTAATTTATTTTACATTAAAATCATCATGATTTCAGGTGAATGATTTACTGCTGTTTCAAAATAAGAATACTCCCTAATTTGATACTGTGTTTAGTAATAGATTTTAGAAGTAAGATGTACTTTAGGGAATCTGTAATCCTTTTGAGGTAAATAATGTATTTGGTAGATGGATTGGATTACTTTTAAAAAAATACGTAAATGTAAGGTAACAGGGCATTCCTCATGGAGAAAAACAATTTAGGGCTTCATTCTGTGACCAGCGTTATTTAATTGAGATATTTGTAATGACATAATTTATGCAATGATCTTGTTTGTAGCATGGTGCTGATGTCAATGCCAAGGACATGCTCAAAATGACTGCACTTCACTGGGCTACTGAACATCACCACCAAGAAGTTGTAGAACTCTTGATAAAGTATGGAGCAGATGTTCATGCTCAGAGTAAATTTTGCAAAACGGCATTAGATATTGCAGTAGACAATGGAAATGAAGACATTGCAGAAATATTACAGGTAATTTAATTCCTCATGTTAAGGGAACTTGCAGCAAAGTACTTGATTACCCATGTCATAAACTCAGCTTTTACTGTAGCAGCTGTGACACCATATATTGATAATGCCAAACTCCAGTCTAGTTCATTTCATGAAATGAGATTAATGTTAGTAAACATTACTTGGTCAAAGAACATTTTCACTACCTACAAAGTCAAGGATAAGTGTTCTTTATTTTCTTAAGTATGAGTGATGTAATACACAGAGGTAGGTGGACTCATTAAAATTGACTCATTAAAAAAAAACCTCCCTTCTCTGATAGTATATTCTGACTATCCCCTAGTATTCAGTTAGCTTCATATATGGATATTAATTTCCTAGTTGGAATTCAGACAGGACAGAAGAGATGCCAATTTGTCTAGAATTAGAAAAGCTAAGAATGAATTGTTGGAGAATTGATTTTAATAGATAATTCCATGGAAATGTGTGCTCCTTGTTCAATAGTGTTGTTAAAAGCAAAGTAAGTGATAAATCTTACTGAGAAAGGAATGCAAAGCAAATGAAAAATATCATTATGCTACTGTTTAAATCTGTAGCCTTCCTATGTCTTTAAATGTCTGAACTTCTGGTGTGTTCCTGTAGCCTCCTTCTGATTGCAGAAAGGGTGGAGTAAACAGAAGTTAGTAATAATTCATAGAAAGACACAAAGGCTGCCACGTCCATTTCGTGGCAATCGCAGAGCTGTCAGAGTAGCTTTTCATGATATGTATCTGCCCCAGCAGTCTTGGTTCTTCAGACTTCTCTTTTAGATAAGTGAGCTTGCATATCTGCAAAAGAGCCTTGTCCTCATTGTTTACATAACTGGTAGGGAGAAGTAGTGCTGTTGTTAAACTCTTTCACTCCAATAGATTTTCTGTCTTTAGATTTCAACCAAAAAAAGAAAAGTTTCTTACGTACTTGGAGATAGGACACGATGTATGTGTATTGCATGAGTGCAATGAGGGAGCTCCTCCTTGTTTGTGTGAAGCATACAAGAATTGTAGCTCTTACACAAGTCAGCAGCTCCTTTGTAGCTGCAGTGGGAATGATGTTGTTCCCTTTGTGTCCAGATTGCAATGCAGAACCAAATCAATACGAACCCCGAGAGTCCGGACACTGTGACGATACACGCAGCCACGCCGCAGTTCATCATCGGGCCTGGAGGGGTGGTCAACCTAACAGGTCTGGTATCTTCTGCAAATACATCCAATAGAACAGGTATTTTGATGCCTAAAGGATAGCTATGGGATTTTATACTTTCACTGATTTTCACCATTTAGTGGAAAGGTGTGAGGAAAAGCAGTGGTAAGAAGAGTTACCATATTCCTTGTCAGTGGTTTTTGTGTGTTGTAAATATGTACATACCTAAAACAACGATCTTCACAGTCATAAATTATCAGAAATTCTATTTGCTTAACAAACCTCACTTCAGAATAGCACTTTGGTTCAGCAGAATGCTGCTGAAAATGGAGTGTGTGCTAAAAGTTTCAGTGCAATAAAAATAGAAAAAGGGACTTTGCTGGTTTTAAATTTATCAGCTAACTTTTTTATCATCCTTCTAGATGAAACAGGAGTGTCTGCTGTACAGTTTGGAAATTCATCAACATCAGTATTAGCTACGTTGGCAGCTTTGGCAGAAGCATCAGCTCCACTGTCTAATTCTTCAGAAACACCAGGTTAGAAAGCTAAGTCATTTAAACTAATTTAATAAATTTAAAGTACATAACTTCAAGTTTCTGTCAGGTTGTGAAGTAGTGCGGTAAATAATGATTCTATGGATTTAGATAAGGATGGAGAGCAAGGAAGGAATAATGACCATTTTTTTGTGGGTTTTTTTGGGTTTTTTTTCTTTTTATATAGAATAGCTTATTTTTAGACAAAATCTTCCATTTTCTTTCAAGATTTGAAGAAGTTCTAGCCATGTTTCCTTCCAGAACTAAAACCCAACGCTGAGTTTGACACTGAAAGATCAGAGCTGTTTGCCACAGCACCTAGTATTGGCACTTCCAATTGAGACTTCTTTATGACAGTGGCCTTTCTTACTGCTGAGCCTGTACTTGGAAGCCAAATCAAGTTCAATACAACACCACTTATTCATGTGGGAGTTGCTTTATTGGTTTCCTGAATAAACACTCTGTGAATATTTAGGCAGTGTTATAGTAATCTCTAAACATAAAGATCTTCAGAAGACAATGTCTGCAATCATTATTTCAATTACAGAGTGATTTTTCTGTGTATGTTACATTGTAATTAACTTAAAAGATGAAAGCCTCAGAGTTTTAGCTACCTTCTGTCATCTTGAACATCACAACACAGTCTATAGGGTTTTAATTTCATCTCTGCAGATAGAGAACATTCTAATGTCTGTTATTTAAATCAAAGGCTTTGCTTTTACCATGACAAATTGAAAATAAAATACAGAGCTAGTGTTCTTGAGTTTCCCTGATTGTGGTACCAATGATCTTGCTCTTTGTCTCAGCATCATGTTGGATGGTAGCACAGCACCCCATTTGCAGCATAGAGTGCAAGCTGGGCTGTGTGCTGTAGCTCTGAATGCAGGCTTTCCTTGTCCTGCCTTGATTTGTAGAAGTGATACAGAACTGTGGGAGTTCACTGCTTTATACTCATTATTGAATCATGAATTTGAAATAGTTGAGCTGGAATTTTTCACTTTTACCTATAAAATTATATACATACAAGGTTTATTTTACTTCTTAAGCTTTATCTTTCTTCTTCGAAGGTGTAAAAATGTCAGCTCTGCTGAACTTTTCCTTTAGTCTTGTTTCATACTTTGTATAAGAAATAAAGTTGTTTGAAGTACTCATGGAGTACAGACAAAACTTAAGATTCTCTAGGGGTTCTTTAGTCTTGAAGACCATTATATTAAGTAGAGAAATCTAAGCTGGGTCCTGACATACAGTGGCAAGGTAGTATTACAAGTTAATTTTTTTTCATTCTGCTATTAGTGTAACTTAGTCCAGCTTGTGTACAATGCAGAAGTTCATTGTGTTGTTAAAAGCAGCTGCTGTTCTTGCTGACCTGTTAACACTGACCCCAAAGCATCAATTTTGAGTGAGGTATATCAATATTATTGTATTGAGCAAGGATGGTATTGCATGTAAATGTCAAAATGTGAGTGCTTTATGTTGGCCTGATAAAAGACTCTATTTAAAATATAATACATAGTAAAGTATTCATCGGGGGGGTCAAGTTATGAAAGCCATGGAATGAATGTTTCTTTAGCTGTACCAAAATGCATTTGAAGTCATAAAATTTCATTTATAAATTGACTTAATTCCTTTACTAATCTGTTGCTAGTTGTGGCCACAGAAGAAGTAGTGACTGCAGAATCTGTGGATGGGGCCATTCAGCAAGTGGTCAGTTCTGGAGGGCAGCAGGTTATTACCATAGTTACAGATGGCATTCAGCTGGGCAACCTGCATTCCATTCCAACCAGTGGCATAGGGCAGCCCATCATTGTGACCATGCCAGATGGGCAGCAAGGTGAGTGCACACTTGTATGATTCCAGCTTGAGGAACTGTTTTAGCTGTAATAATAACAGTAATAGTAATGACTTTTTAGGTGCAAATAGCTTGGACCATTTTGTGTACATCTGTGAATTCTTATATTAGAGAAGGCTCAGACATAAGGCTCTGCAGTTCAGTGGGTTAACATGTCAGCTGAGCCTCTGCTTTAGGAGACAGAGTAGAAGAGTTACTAAACTGTGGAGGAAACATGGGACATTTAAGATTGCTTTGCCTTCAGTAAGTTTGATTTTTGCAAACTTGTTACAGAAACTAAATGATGGAGTAAAACAAAAACCTTCTTCTAATTCTTACACTATTGCATTGCTGGAAGTACTGTGGGGAGGTGAGGCTTGGATTTAGAAATCTGATGCATGAAGCAATCTCTGCAAGTTCCATGGAGTGTCAGTACACTGACACACTGACCTGACAAGTGTCAGCTCTTACATGCCTGAAGTTTAGAGCAGCACTGGCAGAACCAGTGAAGCCAGAGTGACACAACTTTTTTTTTTTTGGGCTATATGTACTTTGTAGAAGCTGCTAGTGTGATAGGTCCTTTTTTGTGATGTGTATGCTTTGGGTGGTTTCTTTAAAGATCCCCTGGCATTATTTAGATAAAAATTATCCCTTCTCTGCTTTCTTCATGAGGACTCCCAGTGTGAAGCTTGAAGAGTTGTACACAGGAGGCAAATTATTTGGTTCCCAGGTTGCCTGAGCTAGTACACCTTGTTATCATTATGAGTGAATGGCTGTAGATGGCAACTGAGGTGGCAGTTACATTTATTTGTCAGATGGCTGTGTGAGGAATTAGAGTATGACTTTACTGAGAACCCTGATTTTCTTATTTATGGCTAATTACTGGATTTTTAGGTTACTTAATGTGTATTAAAACAAAAGCAAGATTTGTATTTAGCTTTTTTTCAAGAAATATTATATAAATGGTCTGCTACAGAAGTTAGAGTTGACAGGCTGGTGACTCTGCTGCAGTTATCTGCCATGTCTGTTTACTCAGAAAAATGGCAGTGATATTCCACAGCTAATTACTGTAGGCTTCAATAATGAGGAATTTTAAAGTTCTTAAGTAGCATACAAGCAACTAAAGTTTTTAGTAGATTTTCACTGAGCTTATCGTGCAGTTTATTATATAGGTATGTTGTCACAAGCAAAAGTATTTGCATTTTTTGCTGTTAATAAAATTGCTCAAATAATACAAGTTTTATGTAGTGCAAATATTGTTGGAAATAAATGTATTTACATGTACAAATACATTTTCAGTTTTAACAGTTCCAGCAACAGACATTGCTGAAGAAACTGTAATAAGTGAAGAACCGCCAATGAAGAGACAGTGCATTGAGATTGTTGAAAATCGTGTGGAGTCTGCAGAAATAGAAGTAAGGAGTATGTTACGTGATCTGTGTTGAACAGTGTTCAGGACTGAGATCTGCTTATGGTTTTTGTATTGTTCAGGAGGTTAATTTCTGTGTTACCACAGAATGAAGTGTGTGAAATGTTCAACTTGTTCAGTCTCTCCTGGAACTGAAATTCATCTTTTACAAAGTTGTTGTAAAAAGAAAATAGGAGGGCTGTTTGCTTGATCCTCTGGTCATGCACGTAAAAGTGACACTTGTTTAGGTATATGAGAACATTTTTTTGTTTTTCTTGAAGATCACTAGCTGGGTTTTCAAATTGGGTGCTGATACGTTATCGAGTGACTTGACTCTTTCCACTAGGAGTGAATGAGAGCCCTGTACCCTCATCTTTCTGTTACAGCCACATGCTTCTGATTGTGAGATCATTTTTAGCAATGTTTCCTTTCCATTCATGGTATCTAGATAACTGTTGATGGAAGTGTGAAACAGTAAGATTCTGTGTTTGTTAATTTTTATCTGTGTGGTGTCCCCCACCTTTTTTTTAAATTCTGAAGCAGTTTGTTACTACACAACTTTGCACCATCTGTTTTTTTTAAAACTATACTGCAAAAGACCTAAGAATGTTGAGAGCTCTTTCCTTTTTATATGACAAATGGTTCAGTTTAAAATTGTAGCTTTTTTTATATTAGCCACAAAAGGTCAACCATCTCATTCCTTTTCCTGTTACTTCTAACTGTGCTGACCAGTTTTGGTCAAAAGTTTATGAAAATTGCTGTCTGCTTTGACTAGACTGTAAGTTCTCATTTTGTCAACTCCATGATATTTCATTTATCCAAGGTTGTATTCTCCAACTTCTGTTCATATTATCAAATTGTGCCTAATTGAATACTTTTTGTTGTACAGTATGTGCTATATGTTATCCATGTCTAATAACAATAATTACCACCTCTCATCATTTACTTTCCATGTCCCTAAGTTGTTGCATCAAATACTTTTGGCCTTTGCAGCTTTGTGGTCATTACAGATTATCCTGACAGTTGAAATTTTCTTGCTGCATTTTTTAAAATGTATGACTGTTAAAATAAAAGCATTTCTTTTGTTCACACTTCTAAAAATCTGCCTCAATTATTCATAAAGGAAATTACATTTCCTTAAGCATTTTAGTAATTCTGTTAAATTAATTTTTAAAAAATCCAGATTGGTTAAGGGATAAATTGATGTGTTCTTAATTACAGATAATTGGTATAAAAATACCAAGAATTCTTTTTAAGGGAATTACCATTTTTATTTATATATGTTAAACATATATCTCAAATATTGAAAGAAGTAGATTTAGATGAGTTACTTGGTCTTTTGCTTTAAAGTGGAAGTTTTGATGACTTTCTTGTCTCTACCTGTTCAACTGGAAATGCACATACAGACCTCTGCCTCTGTGTGAAGGCCTTGTGGTGCTTCACAGGGGTATGGTGCTACCTTACTTTAGTAGCAGTGGATACTGCTACTAAAGAAGTGCACACAAAATTGGTTCACTTCAAATTTCTTCATCACAGACATTAGTAGATATTTAAATTTGGAGTGGGACCCTTCCCCTCATTAAAGTATTTAAAAAAATATTTTAGAATGTGGAAATGCAGAAAATGTTTGTTTTTTTGCCTCGCTCTGATTCATTCCTTTATTTTATTATGAAGGTTGATTCAAGGCTAAATGCTTTTTTCAGCTGTTTTAAGTTCATTGTGTGTGAACACTTCAGTGTAGTTGTAAAGCTTTTGTAGTTGAAAATCCTCTCATCCATGTGGGGTGACAAACTTTCCTGTGAAAGTATTGTGAAACAACTAAAGCTGTAGTGGTGTTTTTAAATTTTCTATTCTGGGTCTGTTAAGTTAAAACATTTCAGCTCATTTTGTAGATTGACAGCAGTTTTCCTAAGCAGTTTGATATTTTAAACATGGGATGGCAGCAAAAAAACCCTGTCACACAGATACTCTGTTTTTCATTTTCATGCATAATTCATTAACATATATTGATCTTTATTTTCATTCTTTAATTTGACTGTTTCTCCCATGTTCCATGTTTGAAATGTGACATGCATTAGAACCAGGACAATCATTTGATTAGACTAAAAAATAATCATAATTGTGAACTAATTATATTAATGGATTCATATCCTGTGTCTTTGTGTTGTTTAAAAGAGTGGTTGGTTATTTTAGTTACAGGTATTCCTATTGTCAATGAAAAGTTACATGTATGAAGAAAATTCCCTGGTAAAATGGAAGATTTCTTTAGAGCACTGAGCATCCTCTTATTTAATTTTTGTCTGGGTAGGTGATATACAAGGACTCCAGATCTCTAGAACACTTCTGGTTGTGTTCTGAAGAATGTCCCAAGAACACTTTCTGGGTTTGATTGAATTGGTAGATGAGATACAGTCCTCCTCCCTATTCTGGATGTCAAAGTTAGAGAGCCAGTTTTGACCACTGAGTCCACAGTAGATGTGTTGCTCCTCCAGAAGCATTGGGCTCTTGCCACTGCCAAGCCACACAGACCAGTTGGCTTCATCTCCTTAACTCATTCTGTTTGTTGGGACTGTGACAGTCTAAAAACTCCACCTGTTAGCTTCTGGACTAATCCCTGTGCTTTGAACTGCTAGTGTGTCTGGTAGATACTGGTTTTATCTTCTGGCCATGCCTTGGAGGCTTGGGTTCTTCCATTTTTTCTTATCCTTTCCTTTACATGCTGTACTGCTTTTGGGTATGCAGCTCTAGTTCTCTCTTTTGTGGGAAATACTCTGAAAATATTGTTCAAGAACCTCCCCATCCCCAAATGTTTGCAGTGTGCCCTCACTCCACAGCAGTGATTCCATCCCCAAATGTTTGCAGTGTGCCCTCACTCCACAGCAGTGATTCCATCCCCAAATGTTTGCAGTGTGCCCTCACTCCCCAGCAGTGATTCCATCCCCAAATGTTTGCACACATTCCATAGCAGGGATAGCCCCTTGCTGTTTGTAATGTACACAGGACTTCTTGCCAGTGAACTACCAATGGTTCTTATTTCTGTGCAGGCCAGCAGATAGAGCAGCTTTGCTTCTTGACAGTATTAGGTTTTTGATGGTTTTTATGAGACCAGTTCATGGGATAGATAATGCCCAGCTCAGCTCCTCCCAGCCTTCACAAAGGAAAGGCTGCTTTCCACATGTGGAAGGTTCTACTGTTTTGACTAATTCACTGGGAATTGTCTTGTAGCTCTGTTCACCAAGGCTCTAATTCATGAGGCTGTTTTACATAAGCTGTTGGTCCCCTCATAGTACAGACAGAACTTTTGGCTGGGCTAGTGCTGGAGGATCATTGGTGTGTTTCAGATCCTCTGAGGTGTAGGCTCTGCTGTTCATTTGGCATCTGCCATGTTAGTTGCTACATGAGCAGACCATCCTTAAAGTTGCCTTAAAAGCAGAATCCAAATTTTCAGAGGTGGAAGCTGAACTTCCTTTTCGAATAAGTAGACAAAATCAGATGAGCTCTCATTTTATCAGCATATGCTCCAAATGAAGCAAACCCTAGCCTGCTGCCTTCAGCTCTTAAAACCCGTTTGAAAATCAAGTTGCACTTACTGGAGTTTGTTCTGTGTTCTAGCTAATCTCTTTATAACCTGTAAATATTATCTCCTTCACCTGCTGGTTTTGCTGTTAGCAGTGATCTGACCACCTCTGTCATTGTATTTAAGCACATTCAGCTGACATGTGACTGCTCAATGTGACTGTGACAAGTACTGAGAACAGGAGCAAGCAGAAGGGAGGCAGAGTATTTTTCTATTTTTCATACCATGAGAATATGTGAGTGAAGAAGAATAGGGATGCTCTTAGGAGAGTGTGGGGCCTGAAACTTCTGACAACTGTTAGAGGTATTAAATGGGAATGTGATATGGAACTGCTGGGATGGGAATATGGTGAAAAGACGACTTGCTTTCACTGGACCTCAGTGTTTTGATAAGTTGTTTCTCTGGGAGATGGCTTGTTTCTCTGGCAACGTTCCTTACTGTTCCTACTTAACTACAGTGGAAAGAATTATTTTTAAAATCCAATACTACCTTACTCATAAAAGTATGATGCACTTCAATGAAATGGTATTTGATTGAATATTTGATCAAAACAAAACTATTTCCTAAGCAAATTGCTTTTTCAATTGGGCTCAGAGCAACATCAGACAAAATGACAGTACCTGCATCACTGGAGATGGAAATGCGCTCTCCTCAGTTCCTAAGGCAGCTTCAGAGGATGTGGCATTTCTCCTGTCATTTTGCTTGGAAACCATTTTATATCCACCCTCAGCAAACTTGTATGCAGGATTTTTGCAGCTGCTTAAGGATTTCTTTACTAGCTGCTTTTAAAAGGAAAAATGCTTATCTGGCTAATTGTCTGTTAATTGATAAAGATACAGTGTCCTTGGGGATGTGGTTGGACCTCTGGATTGCAGAGTATCAGTCCCTGTTTGGAAACAGTTAAGTTTATGCTTTGGTCAGTGGGCAGCTGACATGACACTCTCCAGTGCAGATGGCTGATAGGTAACAGCTTGTCATTTTTACTGTTTGATTAGATATACAACAGCAAGGGACAAGCCTGTTAGATGGAATGATTGGGGAAATGTTCATATATTCTGTTAGTTTTTAATCACCACGCTTCTGCTTTTTTCATTTAGCTCTTTTTTGGTGAAGATTTGCATGGTACCTTTGCAGCTCAGTAGACTGGGGTTTAGTGTCTCCACACTTGCAGCCCTGTGTGGGGAGTTGGCTGCTTGATAATTGGGGTCGAATTTGCACAGCAGCATTCATACAGGTTTGCCCGAGTGAGAACTGAACAGCTTCTCCATGATACCCTAACACATGAACTGCATGTAAAGGAAAAGTATTTGCCCTTTTAGCTTGTATTTGATACTTATTTGACAAAATATTGCTGGTTCTGTTTCTAATAGGAAAGAGAAACTCTTCAGAAACAGCTGGATGAGGCAAACAGAGAAGCACAAAAATATCGTCAGCAGCTTCTAAAGAAGGAGCAAGAAGCAGAGGCCTATCGGCAGAAGTTAGAGGCAATGAACCGCCTCCAGACTAATAAAGAAGCTGTTTAATAAAAAATGAACACACTGCAAAGCCTGTTACTTTCAAAAACCTGCAGTACAATCTTGAACTGTACACTATATAGGTACAGCCATGGGATTTCATGATAGAGAAGATGCTACAAGTTGATAACTGGACTTAAGCCGTGAGCTCTGATTGATTTCTTGTAACATAAAAACTCTGAATTTAGAAATTGTGAAAAGTATTTAAAATTAAATACTGTAAATAGTTGGTTTTTTTACAGTTTCAAAATGAGTTGATAAATCTTTTTGAAGGGATCCAGAAACATGAAAAGCCAATGTTTTTGTGAAATTTTTGATTTTAGTATGAATCTAACTTCTGAAAAACAGAACAGTTTTAAGGGTGATGTTGATTTAAGCTGACAATTTGAAATTTGATTATGTGACAAAATTAATTAACAGTTATTTCTACATGATAACAGCTCAACTTCTCTGAATAAGACATTTCCAGGTGGAAATCTTTGTACAGCTTTAAGTAGTTGTCTCAGATTCTCTGAAAACCATTTTTGGTTTTTTTTTTTATTTTAGGTGGTGAAATTTTTATATTTAATTTCAGATATATCCAAGTAGATTTACATGTATATGAAGCTAATATTTTTTAAACTTTTCAGTTTGTACATATGCTGCATGTTTTTATAATTTCTACACATACACCTTGCATAGGTATTTTTCAGCAAAGATGAGAAAAATTATGAGAAAAATGTTTAGCCTATAGGTCATTTGAAGTAAGCTAGCAGCCAGTTTTATTGTGGATGGTATATTTCTTGGAAGAATGTAATTTGTAATTAAGGAGAACAAAAAAGTATCTTAAATTACATATTAAGAGGCAAAATTTGGTAGTGGAGGCGTCGAAACTTCACTTTGTGTGTCTTACGATTTTCCTGTACAAACATTTTAAAGTTCAGTAATGAATAGAAAGGAATGTCTCCACTGGAACACAAATAGTAGCTATTTTAGACTATCCCTATTGGTCTCTCTTCCCCAATAGCCTTGAAATGACTTCAGTGATACATTTTTTTTAACGGACTTTTGCATTTTAATTACGCAATTGGACGAGTAAGTTTTTTTATGTTGTAGTGATGCTCTTCCTAGCCAGCATCATTGTTCCTCACTGTGATACTGTGTTTGTGTGTGTCTGTGCAGTGATCTATTATGCTTAAAATTTATATGGCACGTTACATCTTCAGAGCATTGTAAAATCTTTTAAAGAACCCTTACTGCTCTGCCTGAGGCAGGTAAGTGAGTGTTATTGTCTCAATTTTATAACTGGTTTAAGTGCAACATGAGGGAGTGAAATGACTGGCTTACCACCACGTGAACCTGTGGTCACCTGGGAATGGATCTCAGGAGTTCCTGGCTTCTAGTCCTGTGCTTAGACTGAGCTGCCTTAAGATTGTTCAGTGCTGTGTTACATTAAATTTTGAACTACTGTGCAGATCCGTTTTTTGTAAGATAAAACTCTTTGTGCTTTGCTTTGTTGTTCCATGTTCACTGCTTTTATGGAATTGTTTATATAAACTTAAGCAAAAAGTCTGGTTTATCTATACTGTACACGGAAGAATTACCCTTAAAACTGTACTCTGGCCTACTTTTTCTATTTTACAATTAAATATCTTTTCCACATATATAAAGTGTAGAATCAGTTCAATTGGTTTGTGTGTGAATGAGAAGGTCAAAGCTGTCCTGTGTTAGACATCTGGAAAAACATGAAAAAATAGTTTTGGGTATAAAATGGCTTTAAATGGTAGGGGGGACGAATGGGAAAAGAATTGCATTGTACCGTACAAAACTTTGTAAAACCGGTCAAAATCTGACTTGGGTTTATAGATTTGGCAGTTAGGAAAAATTCTTAGTATATTTGTATTGTTATATGTTTGGTAAATTTGATTTTGATTGGCAAATTCAAACTAAAAATAATCAAAAGATAGAAATGGGAAATCTATGGTGATGAGTTTTAGAAGAATTGTTTTCAAGGACATCATCATGTTAGTACTAGGACTTGAAGCAAGTCTTTTTCAGTGGTTAACTGGAAATTGCTCTATTTTAGGGATTATTTCAGGAACTATCCATTATGTCATTAGCAGATTGAGGAACCAGTTAACCAAGGGAAATGTGCTGCTTAGGCATTGCTGCAGTGAATTATGTTGTGATGAAAATAATGTTTGTGTCCTCACATCCCACAAATTTAACAACAGTGTAATCTCAGTGATTTCTTAATAATGATAAGAGTGGCACTGTTTGAGTGGTGATAATGGCAACATCCAAGTGGAGAGTTTCCCACGGTTGTGACAGCAGATGTTGGCAGCAAACAATGAAATGAACCTTTTCTATTAATTCTGTTTCCTGTGAGCAAATATTTTATTCCTCATTGTCCATAAGAAAACCCTTCTGAGTGCAGTGTAGCTATAACAAAACCTTATTTATCACCAGCAATATTTACCTTGCCTGTAATCCATTATCAGCTATTTTATTTTAGTTCTGAACAGGACCTGCTGTTTGTTCTCTTCTGCACAGAACAAGAGATGAACCCAATGAAGCCGTCACCTGTGAGCTCAAGTGTAGGGTATATGTTACATGAAATATTTCTTATATAGTTTAGCTCTGAAAACATTGTTAAAAATATTGTTCCTTATTTGCTGTTCCAAATTAAAAATATAAATGTAATTAGCTACCATCTGTTTCTTTGAAACATATTTCAAAGAAATTAATCACTTGTAATGAGCTAAAATCAGGGGTTTTGAGGACTTTGGGCTCATTTTGACTTGGTCCTGTGCTTGATGCCTGTCCCTTCTTAGCTTGTTCCCCTTTATGGGATCATTTACATATGTGCAGCCAAGAGATGTTCATAAATTCCCATTAAGCTCGTTGACAGCTTGTTACTTTTTTCCTAATGTTTCCAGAGCAATATGAGATAAAACATGCATATAGTAGTTTTTTGCACTTTTCTCAATGCCTTTTTATCAATTTGGGGTTTTTTATTTCAGTCAGTACATTAATCTGATGTGTGTGTATCAGAGCATCTTTCTCATATCTATAAAACAGTTCCTTCTCAAGTATCTATTTGCAGCAGAAGCTAGAAAAGGTTCCACACTGTTCTGTAGACAGTGTGTGTGAGAACAATGTAAAAACTTTCTAGAACTATGTAAGTGGTTGTGCTGCATTACAGTACCTGGGACAGAGAATCAAAGCTGCTCTGGCAGGCAGTTCTCTCCTGTGACAGAACAGCAAAACTGCTGGGAGGTATCAGACACAGGGTCTGACCAGCCTGGCATCCTGTCTCCAGCAGTGCCAGCCCCAGGCAGGAGCCTAAGGTATAGCAAAAATAGGCAAGAATTTATTGTATGGGAAATAATTTCCCTTTCTGGTGCTTCATGGACAAGTCCTACCTCTTGTCTTTTCCCAGGGCTGCCTGGTGCAGTGTGGAGCAAGTGAAGATGGATAAGGATTCAACATTGAGCAGTGTCAAAGACTGTGCTGCCACAGAGAGGTCAGGATGTGTTTTCAGGTCCTAAAACTGGAACAAGAGGCAATCTATAAGGCTGTTCTTTCAAGCTGAGAATGATCCAAGTGGAGGACTTGGAGGAATTCTGGAGAGACAAGACTAAATCCCAGTGCTTATGCATATCATACAGGAGAAAAGAAAGCAGTGAGGGAAGAGGTGTCTTTTCCCAGCTCAGTGGTCTAGGGTGATATCCCTGGAGGAACATCACCCTGCTTAGCATAACCTGCTCTGCTCTGATCTGAAGGGCAGGACATCCACAGAGGATCACTGCTGCTTCACATTGTAGTTCTGAAACTGGCAGGAGCTGTGAAGCCTTTCCTTTTAGCAGCATGGACTGACAGGATAAGGACTGAACACTTGTGGGGATGTAGGTATACTCTCTTTTTGGGAAAAAAGAAAGAGTTCTCAAAACAATTCTTAGGAAAAGTTCCTGTCTCCCATATCAAATCTGTTCTGTGCTGGTACCTTGTTTTCATGGCTACTGCTAGCACAGTAGCTGGCTATGCTGGTCTAGTATCTGCTAGCTTTTATTTGGTTTTGAAAGCTCTTGAACTTTTTCTCTCCCATAAGTCTCATGTTAATATGCCTTATATTCATGGCATGGATTACTGTGAGACTTCTGAAAAATTGATTGAAAATGGGAAAGTGCAGAGGCAGCTCCTCTTAGTGATACACTATCTTACACATCAAAAGAGCACAGATGAGAACATGAGAGATTGTAAAAACCCTCAGCTGGGAGGAGTTAGATAAACACCAATGACCTGCCTGTTAAACCTTTTCCAGAATGTGTGAGTCTGAGAGATAAAGGGAGCTATAAAGGGGGAAGCAGCTGGCAGGGCACCAGACCAAACTGACCACAGCTCCCAAAAGGTTGTGGCCCAGGTTTGAAGAGGTGCATTCCTAAGGAATCACTATGGAGCCTGAGGAGTACAGACAGAGAGGTGAGTGATCTGTGCCTCTTGCAAATAGGTAACATCTGCTCATGGAGATCAGCTGTTGTGGGGCTGGGAGTGATACCCAAAATTAGGGTGGGCTATATCCTCTTTAAGTGTGCACTTGGCCTTGAGACTTGGATCTGCTGAGGCAAAAATGTGTCCCAGGGTTGAGTTTAAACTAATGGATTTAGTGTCTGTGGGTAACTTAGCCTTTTTGGTCTTACATCTAAGATGCTGTGGGAAAGCTGCAAAACTGTAATTCTGAATAAACTTGTGCAAAGGGGTTGTGCACAATAGCTTTTCACTGGCTTCACACCCTGAGACTGCAGTCGTACTTGGGACAGATTGCCTTAAAAAGTGGAGAATGGGTGTGGAGCAATGCAGCTGATTTCAGAGGATGCAAAAGCAGGTTTGCTATAATGACAAGGAAGTGTAGGACATGAAAATTTAATACCTGTGAAATGCAGTTTCAGTTAATTTGTAGGCAAGAAAATCTAACCTTTCAGTAACCAAACAAACTGTACTTGTACCATGATTGTGTTTTAAAGGTACATTTGAACTACTCAATGATAAAGCCCTGTGAGGCTGTTTTAGAACATTATTAGATGGGACAAGTAGGGTGTAGGAGGGAGGAGCTGGGAGCAGTATTCCAATGCTATTAGAATCTCTGTCCAATGCTAAGGACAGATTGTGTGGAGTGCCTGTACTGCTAGTTAGTGTTTCCATAACTGAAACTGAAACCACTGGTTTGCCTCTTGCAGGGAAAGAGATGGTGGATTACATTTGCCAGTACCTGAGCAATGTGAGAGAGAGACGGGTGACTCCTGATGTACAGCCAGGTTACATGAGAGCCCAGCTGCCAGACTCTGCCCCAATGGACCCAGACAGCTGGGACAGCATCTTTGGAGATATAGAGAAGATTATTATGCCAGGGGTAAGAAATAAAATATAATAATGGCAGGAAAAAGCCATTACTACTTGGGGTGAACACCAAATCCTGGGAATGCACAGCTTCTGCAGAACATTGTTCTAAATAAGTAAAGTACCCAAAAATGTAGCATTAATCTTGTAGATGTTATCTCCACAGTTGTGTTCCTAACTATAAGTTTAGGGGTTAGATTGTGAGTGTATTTTTTAACTATTTTGTATATAACTCATATTTGCTTATAGGGAAACAAATTCAGCAGTATGAGAAAATCATTAGCTTCACAATGTCTCTACCTGCTGAACCATATAATCTTAATTTCAGAGATGTGGAAACTGGGCAGAGCAAGGTGATACAACTCTTGCCCAGCTTCATGCACATGCAAGGCTTGTTTCCTGTGCTTTGAATGTAAAAGTCTACTTCCTCTTGTACATAAATACTGCAGATTCTGCTAAGAGAATTCATATTACCAAATTGCCTGTTTTATGTAAGAAACTTTTTCAAAGCCCGTTCTCAAATTTTTTTGTAGATGCTAGCAGAAACTTGATCTGATGTAGGAGAGGCAATCAGATTACATGTAGTTATGCTGGTGTCCCACATTCAGGTGTATAGAAGGGTTTATATAGTTGTAAATTGCTGTGCGTAGCTAAAGGCAACTTGTTGTTTGACAAAATGAGCAACTTTGTTACAAGGATTCTCTTTATAAAGATAACTATTTTGATAAATCTTTCTGACTCTGGTCTTTCAAACACGGCACAACATTCTTTCCTGTTCAGAATCTTTGTCTGCCTGTTTAATTCAGATAAATGCTTTTGCTTTTATTTGCAATTTATCTGTTAATAATGCAGTGTTATCATCTGCTAGTGCTGCTCCCCTGTTGGTATTATCTCTGCAGCTCTCTGCTGCAGATATATTGTTGCACATATTATGTTGCTGTAATCCTTTTCTCTCATTTTAAACAGATAGGAACCACTACACCTCATGCAAAGTTTTGTGACATTTTCAGACTGAACTTCTACATAATTCTGTTCTAGGTAGTCCATTGGCAAAGTCCACACATGCATGCCTACTTTCCAGCTCTAACTTCCTGGCCTTCACTCCTTGGAGATATGTTGGCTGATGCAATTAACTGCTTGGGATTCACATGGGTAAATTTTTTGGGGCTATTTTAGACATTCTTCTCCTGTATGTAATATGCAAGAGCAGGTCTTAGTCATTCTTTCTTGTTCTCTGAGTCAGTATAATTATTTGTTTTAAACAACTGTATGTTGTTGCATAAA